TTTTTATCTAAAATATTATATATTTTGAGTAATTCTTTATCATAAATTAATATTGAAATACTTCGTTTATCTCAAAATAATTATTTTTTAAAATTTTTTTTAAGTTAAAGATTTTAGAACTATAATTGCATTTATCTATAATATTCTTAAGAAAAATAAAAGATTAAAAAAACTTTTTGTGATTGAATAATTAATCAAAGTGAATAAATAATAATAGAATTAAAAAAAAAAACATTTGTCTATCTTAAAAAATAAAAAAATAACAATTAATTTAAAATAAATTCAAAGTAAAAAAAATTAATTATTTTGTGATAGAGAGAGTAATAAAAGTTGATCTTACATTTATTCATTAACTGCATAATTAAATTTTTTTATGTTGTACTAAAATTAATGTTAATTTACATATTTTTTAATATAAATTAATAATAAAAATATACCTTTAACATGTATTAAAAAAATCCAATAATTACTCCACCGGATTGCCTAAGTGAAAGGTAGCCAATCCAATCGGCTTAGTTTGCCAACTAGTGTCAAAATACATGCATTCTTAAAGTAAAACAAGAAAAGAAGAAGAGGAAAATAAATCAAAGCCTCTATTAATGATTCCACTATTACGTTGCTAAAGAGTTAATTCTATTCTGTTGTTTAATTATACTGTTCCTCTTTGAAAGTAGATAGTTAATCCACGAAATTGATTGAAGATAAGGTAGTCAATCCAATAGAATTAGTCTGCCAATTATTGTCAAAATACATGTAATTTTCAAGTAATTAAAACAAGAAAAGCAAAAGAGGAAAATACATCAAAATTTCTATTAATAAGTCCGCTATTAGCTAGGTCCGAAGAAAAGCTTCTTTATTGTTGACTTTATTATTCCTCTTTGAAAGTAAATAGTTAATCCATGAGATCGCGCCTAAATGAAAGATAGTCAATCCAATCCTCTTAGTCTATCAACCATTTAAAAATACATGCATTTTAAAATTAAAACAAGAGAAAAAGAAGAGGAGAATAAATCAAAGTCTTTTATTAATAATTTCGATATTAGTGTTTTTGAAGAATATAGCGTTTTTATTGTTAATTATATTGTTTCTGTTTAAAATTAAATAGTTAATCTGTGAAATTACTTAAAAATAAGGTAGTTAATTCAATCCATTTAATTTGTCAATCATTTACATATTATATGCATTTTTAAAGTAAAGAAGAAATTATTAACATAAATCCAATTTTCTATTAATAATTCCAAACAGTGGGTTGTTAAAGAATGACTTCTTTTTGGTCAATTAGTATATTGTCCAGTTTTTATAAACATTCAACTAAAACGTGGATGTTGAATTCCCTAATGTGACCTAATGGATGTACCACGTTTTTTCACAAGGAGCAAGTGGAGTTTGTTTAAGTTTCGATTCTCCCATTGATATAATCAGATATTAATTTTTAATCAGTATTTTCTTTGTCAAAAAAAAAACTAAAACATGGATGTTAATCCACAGGTGCTTAAGGATAAGGTAGCCAATCCAATCTACTTAGTTTGCCAATCATTTTCATAACCTGTGCGTGTTCAAACTAAAATAAGAAAATCGGCAGAAGAAAGTTAATCAAAGCTGCTATTAATAATTCTGATGTTAAGTGGTTTGAAGAACAACTTATTTAGGTTAAAATACTAAAATAGTTCTTAAATTTTTAGATTTATGCTAATTTGATCCTAAAACTTTTTAAAGTACCAAAATAATCCATAAACCTTAAAATTCGGTAGTATTTTGGTCGTTCCGTTAACAGAGGATAACTATCGTCAGCAGAAGTTATGGTGGCATGGTTAAGCTG